TTTATATAAATTGGGCACCTACTCTAAATTGGGCATAGTTATTCAAAAGAGGATTTAATACTTGGTATATGTAATTACAAATTAAGGATATTCTAAAAGCACAGATTTTCACTAGTAAATTAGAGATAGCATTACCTGAAGGCAGGGGGCTTGTAATTATTCCCCATTATATCCCTAGTGCCAGTGCCTAGCATTAGTCTCTGGATATGTGGTTTTAGTAGATGCCCAGGAAATATTCATTGCATGCAGTGATTGGATGGATGGATGAAAGATAGAATGTTAGGTCCTTTATTTGTTCTGCCAATAGAGTATTTATACATTGTTTGGCTTCCCTAGTATATTTTGTATTACAGCTCCTGATAGCTTTAAAAGTTCTGTCAAATTATAATAACATAGGATTATTGCTCTGGTCTCTATCCATGTATCTAACTTTATATCTCTATCAGGCTATTCTAGAGACTGGATTATGCTGACCTTCAGGCTACTTTTACATCCATTATGTCAGTTGATTTTCAAAACATTGGCCTTTCAAAACAAAGCCTGGTATTAGATAGTGTACAGAACTTGTAGCTAGACTTTTAAGTTTCAAATCCTGCTTCTCCACCGCATCACTGTGTAACTTGGGCAAGTGACTTAACCTCTCCAAGTATCAATTTTTGCATCTGTAAAACAGGGATAATAATTGTACAATTTTAAGATTGTCATAGAAATTAAACGAGATAATGTAGATTAAGTTTTTAGCATGTAGCCTGGCTACAGAAAGCCTTCAATAATTTGTTGTTATCTTAGTGGTGGTAGTAGTAATAGCTGCTTGATATTAAACATCGGCCCTTCTGTGCTTTAATTTTCTTCAGGACTTTGTTTTGTTCATCTCTGCATCCTCTCCTAGCATAGGGCCTGTCATGCCTTAGATGCTCAACAAATAATTATTAGATTGAATGAGGTAGACAAATAATTTTTTTAATCAAAAAGTTGTTTTCCAAATGACTAAACTTAAGCTCACACAAGTTACCTGGACAGGTTTGGAATAGCTGCTATAAATCAGTCACATATAGTAAGTCATTTAATCTTCAGGCAACTTTATGAAGGGTTCAGATGGAGTCCCAGGATTCAAACACACATCTTTGAGTCCTGAGCCTAGAACGCTTTCTATAAAATTCTCCTGCCTCTCTTACAGGATATATAAGAATTCTTCCTTGGTCAGTTACTAATATATAATAA